TATATATATAGTCATTACAGAAAATCTAACTGCTCATTTTAAATCAACACTTTTACTTTTAGTACTTACGTACAAAAAATAACAGATACTTTAAGACTTTTACTTAGTAATATTCCTAAAGGAGACTTTAACTTTGTAAACTTTGACCAAAGTAATTTTTTGGTAAGATACTTGTACTTTTACTCAAGTATCACTTTGTGGTAATTTATACAGCACAGGTCACATGACACAGCAGAGCTCGCCCACAAAACTAGCCAAACAGGTAGCGATAGCATCAAAACACAACTTTACACTCGACTTCATTTACTGCACAGACTAAAACACAAATGAAAGGAAATCTGAGTTCATGTTTTCATGTTGGGTGGTCTGATTTCATCATGTTTTACAAACTAAATCATTTTAGTTTTGTACCTCAACCTATTTTGTCTACGTTTCAACGTTTCCCACAATGCTTTTTTTTTAAATCGTCTTTTTTTGTGCGTGATCGTCTGTTTTTCACCTCATCGCTGTTTTGAGTTCACTTCAAGCACCCACCTGCTGTTTTGTCCAAAAAGTAGGCCAACAGGCAGCGCATGACAGCCTGGTGACAGATGACCAACACGTTCTCCTGCCTCTCCAGCTCCATGATGACCGGCTCCAGCCGCTGCACCAGGTCCTCATAGGACTGAGAACAAGACGTGAAATAAATCACATCATTGACAAATACAGTCATAAGAAGTGAAACTGCAGAGTGAGTTTCACTTAGTCACTTTGTTTTCTGCACAGCTGCACATACAGCAGGTGGAAACAGGCTGTCTAGACYAACTGGACATCTAACCATCTTCCTTCATGAGATTAATGGAGAGGTAATGAGATGAACAAAAAGGTGAGAGCTGACCAGCAGGCATCGAGGCTTATCAGTGAACACACACACACACACACACACACACACACACACACACACACACACACACAAATTCAGAAGCACAAAGACTAATGTCTTTGTTTACAGTGATCACATGTGACCGGCAGCCATCTGGATTTAATTTAATGGTGTGTTTGTGCTTCAGTGCAACATGCAACATTTATTATCTTTACACAGGAGCATCAGCTTGACGTTTCCAAACTCCACAAGGACGCTTGAAAGTCTAAAATTAACTGTCGGTGCACTAAAAACCTAAAAAAGCTACAAAGTTTGGATCTTGTATCATCAGACTTGATCTTGAGCATTTTTTTCACAGAACAAAGTGATCGCTGTGGAACCTGATAGAATTCAGATCTAAGATAAGATAATCATTTATTAGTCAAACAACTGGAAAACTTTGGCTGTCTGCAGATTTCTCAACATATTTGAGGAGTAACTGATAGATTTGGTGCGATCCATGCTACCCATGTGATCCCTGCCTCACACTGCACCAGACACAGCTGCTGTGTGTCAGGTTTTATGTTTTTATTAGATGTGATGTGGCAGGCTGTAAAGTAACAATATCGGGAGCGTCGATGCTGATGTTGGTAAAKGAGGATAACAGAAAAACCCATTCAAAGCTATAAAATATATTCAGAAGTATTCTGTTTAGACTTCTCAGAAGCCAGTATTAAAGGGGACCTATCATGTAAATACACGTTTTAAGCCATTAAATGCATTTTGTTGTGTACTTGGAGTGCAGAAAACACAGTTCCTTCAGCTTAACGCAACTTAAACTTGAGACTATTTAATGTTGCTTGAAATGAAATTAAAGATCAGCTTCACAATAAACACAATGGGGGAAAAAAACAGTTAGCAACAACTTTACCCAATGTTTATTTTAACAAAACAASTAGCTGCGAGAGGCATTTGGTAAGTTATTTAATAAATAAATAAATACATAAATAAATAAATAAATGTTTCCAATTATTTTAATATAGGAAATGAATTACAATCATCCTACTTACAATGTGTTAACATTTTCAGACTTGATTAAGACATTTTAAGGCTAATTAAGGCCTTATTTTTAGATTGATGAATTCAATGCATTTTAAAAGGCCTCTTTCTTAAAGGGTTCCCCTTTGATGTCACTTCCTGTTTCATTCTGACTGAGTCAAATTCAAAAGGAAATGTCAATTATGTGACAAAATGAGTAAAACCATGCGTATTATGCAAAGTTTCCTAAATATAGCATAGGAAATATATTTTTAATTGTGTTTGGAGAGTGGGGTGGGGTGTTTATGCATTTTTTTTTTGTTGATTGCAAAATGTTTTATTTTGTATTGTTTTTATTTTCTGTTATTTTCTTTTCTTGTTTTTATTATTGTTGGACGCTGTTTTGTTTTTATTATTAGGAGGACTGCAGATGTAAACTAGCCTTAGGCTAAATCTGGTGCAATACATCAAATGTTTTTATGTTTTAATTGCACATTGTCCTCAGAAGTAACTTTTTAATTGTTTTAAATAGAGATGWTTTGTTTGACATTTTGTATTTGAAGAATATATACTGTATGTCACAGCTACTTTAAGGCTTTTTAAGGATCTGCAGGAACCCTGTGAAAAGTTGRATTTGGTGTCTTCTGGTGCTGCAAAGAGACAGCGACAAAACGAGTTGACACCTCAGAAAAGAGGTGAAAGAGGGGCTTGTGGAGTTACAATAAGGAGGAATTCAGACCAAAGCATTGCAGCTCCACTAGACCCTAAATGAAGGATTTAAATGTGAAAAAGAAGGTTTTAAAAGCCTGATATGTCTCMTTTAAAGCAGTGAACTATAAAATAATTTAGCTGCTTGTGCACTGAGTGATATTTGTGGTAAAGAAACTCGTCTTCACACAACAGAGAGTTAGCCTCTGACCTCTCCTTTCGGGTACCGATAGCGGTACTTGTCCTGGTCCCGCAGGGCGAACTCCAGAGGGTAGTGTTCCTGGATCTCCTCGTACATCATCTCCTCACACACACCCTGAAATATTAAAAACACACACACACACGAGTTAAACAGTGTTCACACAAAGCAACAGAAGATCTGTGACAAGCAGAGCTCCGCTCACAGCATCGATCTCGTTGAGGACCTTCCACTGCTCGTAGGGAACGCTGAGCGCCTCCGCCGTCTGGATGGTCCTCTTCATCTGACTGGTCCACACCTTCAGGTCCTGAATGTTCTGCGTCTGGATGAACTGGTTCAGCTTCTTAGCAAACTGCGCAGAGTTAAGTTTGTATTGAAAGAAATAGAAACAGTTTCGATCCACGTTGTTGTTTTTTTTTTTTAAAGTACCTCTTTGCCATTCGGTGTCAGACCAGAGTCTCCTCCAATTCGGCCGTTGACATTGAGGTCGCTTTCCCCGTGGCGACACAGGTAGATCGAGCGCGGCGTGATGTGGATGTTCATGAGGTAGTAGACGATCCGGCTCTGGATGTGGTCCAACACTCTGTTGACCAAAAACCGTTGTCCAACATCCATGATTTTGATGTAGGAAAGATCCCTGAAAGATAACGAATACATTCAAAACATATCCTCAACAGTTTGTATGATTTTTTTTTTTTTTTAAATTCCACTGGTTTCCTCCTCACCTGTCTGAAACTTCATCCAGTGTCTCATAAGAGTTCTCGTAACACTTGATCCTCTTCATGAAATCCTCCACTGCTTCCTCTGTGTTACAGTTTGTGTAATCAGGACTGCCCAGCTTCACTTGCTAACAGAGCGTCAGAAGAATGAGCACGATGTCGACGGAATAAATATCTTTAAACAAGCAGAGCCACTCACCACTATGTTTTCCTGTATGACCTCCGGGTCTTCACACACAGACTCTACAAAAAACACCTGAGAGAAGAGGGTTTGGGTGTTGACACAGTCCGTCGCCTCGTTTTTGAGCTGCAGCACAACAAGTTACCTTGAAGCCGTTCTGCTCCGCAAACTGAACGATGGTGCCTCTTCTTTCTCTGGTGGTGTTCGTCGCATCAAACACCTACGAAAGCAGAAACGCAACAAACGCGACGAGCCTTTTAGCGTCGCGCATCACAAAATACGTAAAATACGTCTGCCAAAATAACAATTAACCTACTGCGACTTGACCTCCTTTGTCCGTGAGATACTGCCGCACATCGTTCAGCGCTGCTGAAGCGCACTGCCTGCAGAAAAACAAAACAAAAAGCAAAAAAACAGCACAGCTTTAATAATCACACGGTTGTTTAAATTAATTAAAAACAGCACAAAAAGCTCTGCAAACCTCCTGATCTTTAAGCCTTCCTCATTGTCGGGACGAAAGAACTCAAAGGAYTTGTAGATCTTTAGAAAATCTCTTCTGTACTGTCCCACGTTGAACTCTGCAGAAAAAGAAATAAATTAGCCACGACGTTACTTTTTTACCCGGTTTGTCTCAGTCGTTTGGATTCTGTTCAACGAAGCTAAAAATCCAGGAGGTTATACCTCTGGTGGGCACCCCGATCCAGTTCAGATAGCGGGTCAGCTTCTTGGAGATGTAGGTCTTTCCTCKGGCAGGAAGGCCCACGGTCACAATTAGGGTGGGACAGTTGGTCATACATACTGAAATAAAAACAGAGATCATGCGCGTGAACGTTAYGAAACTTTAGTTTATTAAGCAGCTCTTAGAAATATGTTGGCAGCTAATAAAAAAAACTCCTTCACATTCTGATTTGTGTCTTGTTGTACAATAAAAAGATTTCATGTTGACACTAGATTGTTGGTATCAGGGAAGAATAAAGAGCAGAGGTCGGTTGCAAAATGTTGCACTGCTCAAGACAGGAGACACGTTTTTAGAAGAGATAAACGGGTTAGAGGGCAGTGTTTTCATGGTTTTGACTTTTGTTTTAGATGTGAATAAACGCTGCAGCATTTCTCACACCGGTTTCTACAGTCTGAATCCTGCATTTTATTTTTAATTTTCAACGATATTTAAAATACAAGAGGCTGTTGAATGAGGCTTGCTCTTGCACCAGTGGAGCAGTAATTTAGTTTGAAATGAACAAAATGCTCTGTGAGTCGATAAGAGGTAATTAACTAAAGAGAAAGTAGAGACGGCGCAGGGTTACCTCACATTTACCGACTGATGATTGGCTTAATGAACACACACATCTACAGAGAACATTATGTGAGWCCTTACATAACCGCGTGAACCAGACACCGGCTGTAGCAGCAGAAACACGGCTGAACTCGGTTAGCTCCGCAACAAAACAAAACATTATGATCACTTTTATCCTCAAATTAAAAGAGGAGCGTTGTCAAACCTCCGACAAAACARCTCAAGCTGCGTGAAACAGCGACCGCAGCGACGCTCACAGAACAGATGCCTCCGCGTCGTATCAATACGCACCCTTTCGATGAGAGATGTGTTTTTCGGGAAGGCCGTTTTTATTGGGCATCCATATCTTCTTCAGAGGGTTCTGGGTGAGTTCACGCGGGTTCGGCGGGGATGTGTCCTCCATCGTCCCGTCCGGAGGTGGGGCGGCCGCAGCGGGGGCACCGACACGGGGGAGCTTCCCGCGATGCTGCTCTGCTGACGGTGACCGGTGTTTCATCCGCGCGGCTGCCCGGATCAGATGGAGATGACCCGCTGTGCCTCCTCGCGCTCGTTTCTGTACGCKTTGTGCTGTCACGTGCTTTGCTTTGCGCAACAGAAACCGACCGTAACGTTTGTGGTAATGGCGCAAACCCAAGTTCCGCTCAACCGTAAGTTTTGTATTATGCGCGCCTGTTTAGTAACACGAAATATGCTGCAAAACTAAGTGGGTTAATTTTACGACTCGAGCAAATTTACAAGGACTTTTAAAACTACATGAATACAAATCGGATTACAAAGCAAAAAAAAAAGTCATTAATGTGGACTTTTAATTTAACCAAGCTATGATGAAATGTGCAAATAGTTTCTTGTTTATGGGATTTTGCATCGTTTTGCTCCTTGCCTGTTAAATAATTCTACTAACTACAGTAAAACTTAGAGCTATAACCAGAGGTAAATGTAAAATCCTATTCATAAAATGGGTCTGTGAACGCCACATCCAGTAGTTTACTAAATTTGTTGTCTTTGGTCAAATGTTCTTTTTTATGCTTCTATGCTGTTTATTTTAAGTTTACGTAATGCAATTTATTGTTTGACAATTTAAGCGTTATTTAACCTTTAGTTGTGGAATATAATATTTTCAGGTAAGACTTTAGGTGAATTTTGTATATGTGGCATACAGTCTTTCATTGTAAAAACCACATGGTGGTTAATATATATAT